AAAAAAAATAGGTACAAGGAGTAACGAGAACAATTCTTCAGGGGATGGCAAACAAAGAGTCTCACGCCCTAAATCAATCAAAAAAACGCCAATGGTATTTCCACCTTGTAGTCATACAAACCTTACCACGGGAGATGTCGGGAAGAAAGGCGGGGGATCCCTTCTTTAGGGGCCGAAGGGGCTGAGCGGAAGGAAAGATTCCCACATGCACGTTTTGAGCTGTAGGTGTTGGAAGGGAAAGTTCCTGAGGGGGGAGTGGTCTTTGGGAACCTGGTCGCAAAAGAAATATCCCAAGCAGTCCACATTTCCCTCCAGGGTGGCAACAATAAAAGGGCCCACGTGCCCCTGCTCAACTGGAGGGGGAAAGGGGATACTAGAGGGGGGGGGACCAATAGTTGAAGAGGTACTTGGGGGGCCCACACATTTCAATATGAGGGGAGACAGATGGGGGTAAAGGCCTAGAGGCAGAAGGGGGACATATGTCTATATTGCTGGGGAAAGTTGGAAGGGGCGCAATAAGGGGGGGAAACAAGTAGGGGCGTGGGCCGAACACAAGGGCAAGGGATGTAATAGATGGAGGGCATCCTTGAAAGGGGGACTGGGGGAACTGGAAACCCTTGAAGGAAGCTGGGGAGTGGGTTTTCTGTGCGGTGCACGGGGAGACAGCCGGTAAAAGGCCTCTGGCTGTGGGCTGGTCCATGAGGTCACGAAGAGTCGGAGACGACTGAACGAATGAACAACAACAACAACAACAACAACAACATAAATATATATTAGAATCTAAACATTAGCAGCACTGTATGTGGGTCATCTACTTCTAAAAGACTAGTGGAAAAAGTGCACAATTAGCTTGGGCTCCTAATTTTTATTTGCTTTCATCAGAAACGTAATGAACTGATATATATCACACTAAAATGTTTACAGTGTTTTCTTGCAACTAAGTGGTTATGAATTCACTTGTTCGATGTCCAACAATATCAAGATTTTGAGTACTTGTTCTTTATCTTCTCTGCCCAAATTATTTAACATAAAGGAGGGTCAAACAGGAGCTATATAAAGAGAAACACTGGAAATCTGCCCAACAACATTTGGATTCTCTGCTTCAGTCCAAAATCTTCATCCATCACTGCTTTAGAAGCTTCTCACTTCAGAGCATAAATATAAATTGTATTCTAAATCTCTGTAAGACAAATGCCACAACATATGGAAGACCCTGCAAAGGTAATACTATCATCATTATTATCATAATTTTATTTATTTCCTATTTTCTCCTTCTAAGATTTCGACTGTTTTCCCCTTCTAAGAATTCTGACCTTCCTTATTATATTAATAAAGACACTTGGTTGTGATTCTGGGAAATGCCCAGAGTATTTATAGGCATTTCCCCTTTTCTAACTACACTGCAACCAACTGCGTTATAACCACTATCAGCTATTGC